GACAGTGGCAAGTGGCTCCCTTGGTTGGGAGGGGCCCTGGGGACAGTGGAGTGGGGGGGCTGATGGCAGTGCCAGGGCAGAGGTCCCAATACCACCCTCCCACCACCAGCAAGCTCCGCAAGTCGGTGTCGGACCCGGCGCGGCTGCGGGTGCTCACCGGGGACTGGTTCTGCGACGCCCGCGCCCAGCGCCACCGGCACCCCCTGGGCTCCGACCTCGTCCGGGCCTCCATCCGCCGCAGGAGGCGGCCCCGGGGTAGGTGAGGGACGGGGACGTGCAGGGACAGAGGTGCCAGGGCTCAGCCAGCTGAGGTCCCCGGTGTCCCCAGGAGCGGGGGACCTGGAGCGTGGCCCCAGCCTGGGCGAGCTGGAGGCCATCAGAGAGCCACTGGCGGAGGAGAAGGAGGATGAGGATGGCGCGGCGGACACGGATGAGAGGTGAGGGGGGGAAAGGCAGGGCTGTCACCCCATGGTGATACCAGGGCTGGTGACATCTCATTGGTACCCACCAGGGGTGGCACAGGGGGGCTGGAGGTGAGGATTGAGGAACAGAGCCTGTGGCAAAGGGGGTGGTGCAGCCACAGCTGGTGTCTGTCTGTCCACCATCCCAGTGTCCATCTGTCCACCATCCCAGTGTCTCCCACCATCCCAGTGTCTCCCACTATCCCAGTGTCTATCTCTCCACCATCCCAGTGTCCATCTGTCCGCCATCCCAGTCTTCCACCACCCCAGTGTTTCCCACCATTCCAGTGTCCATCTGTCCACCATCCCAGTGTTTTCCACCATTCCATCTGTCCACCATCCAGTATTTGTCTGTCCACCATCGCAGTGTCCATCTGTCCATCACCCAGACCAAACTAATGGTGGTCTCTTCCCTCAGCAGCCCCAGGGAGGAGGAGCTGGCGGCCACTGAGCCCCAGGTGGGTCCCTGGTTGGGGGGGTTGAGCAGTACCTGACCCCTGGTGATGGGCTCGATGGGTGGGGGGTCACCCTGCAGCCTGGAGCACCTGCAGTGTCACCCCAAGAGTATGGTGCTGTTGGGGCCAGCCTTGTGTGTGATCCCAAACCCTGTGGAGCGATGGGAGGTGTCCCATGGGACACTGTCCCCAGGGGCACAGAGGGGCTGGGCAGGGGAGCAGGCAGGGGAGAAGGGGGTGCCTGGGGTCCCTGTTTACACCCTTTCCCTTGGTGCCACCTCACAGCCCAGCTCCTCAGCCCAGGAGGAGGCCCCTGTGTCACAGCCCCCACAGAAGGGTGACATCCCGGCGAGGGAGCAGGACATCCCAGCCCAGACAGGTGACCGGGATGGGGGGTCGGTGCTGTGGAGATCTGGGGGGTTGGAGCCCCCCAGCACTGCTTCCCAGCCTCCTACCTCCCCCCTGGCTCCCCATCCTGGCCCCTCATCTTGCTCCTTTTGCCAAAAAAAGGGGACCCCCACCCTTCTACCCACCCCTGCTGGGTTGGTGCCACCCCACACCCTTGCAGGTGACAAGGGAGGTGGAAACCCTTTCGGCTCATCCAGCACGGAGGAGGATGAGGAGGAGCCCGACTCCACACCCAGCAGTGCTGGGCAGGTGGGATGGAGGGGCTGGATGGCATTTGGAGGGGGATAGGGCTATATAGGGCTGTAGGGGCTTGTGGGGGGATGTATGGGGCTGAGGGGTTCTATGAGGTTGGGGGGATGGAGGGGGCTGTATAGGGTTGGAGGGGGCTATATGGGATTGATGGGGCTGAAGAGGGTTATATAGGCTGTATGGGGTTGGAGGGGCTGTCTGGAGTTGGGAGGGGGCTGGAGTGGGCTATAAAGGCCTATATGGCTGTGGGGGGCTGGAGGTGGCTGTATAGGGTTGGGGGCACATATAGGGCTCTGTGGGGTTGGAGGGGGATTTATGGGCTCTTGGGGGGCTGGAGGGGGTTGTATGGGGTTGGGGGGCACATATAGGGCTGTATAGGGTCAGAGGGGGTTTTATGGGGTTTTGGGGGACTGGAGGGGGCTGTGTGGGGTTGCAGGGGAGCCTGTCTGGCCTGAGCAAAGCACAGACCGTGCCCACACACATTGTGGGTCCGGGGGGGTGCTGACCCCTCCTTGCATTTCCAGAGACCAGAGACCCTCCAGACAGATCAGACACCCCCAGACCAGGTGCCCCCACAGAACGGCCACACCCCCCCGAGCCTGCTGAGCACCAGCTCCTCCGTGTCCAGCCTCAGCTCCTCCACGGTACGGCACCGGGGGCTGGTCAGAGGTGTGTGTGTGGGGTGGGGGGTCACCTCCCCAGCCCCCTCTGACCCCACTGACCCCGTCCCCCTGCCCTGCAGCTGAGTGGGAGCCTGATGAGCCTGTACAGCGAGGGGGAGCTGGGCAGTGTGGCCGTGAGGGGCTGTGTCCAGTTCTCCCTCCACTACGACCCGGCCAAGAAGGAGCTGCAGGTCCACGTGGTGCAGTGCCGGGAACTGGCCGAGGCCAAGAGGCAGCGCTCGGACCCGTGAGTGCCACAGCCCCCAGTGGCACTGCCCAGCTGATGCCCACGCTGGCACCCACTGCACCCACCCCCTTTTTTGGCTGCCAGGTACATCAAGACGTACCTGCTGCCGGACAAGTCCAACCGCAGCAAGCGCAAGACCGCGGTGAGGAAGAGGAGCTTGGATCCCATCTTCAATGAGACCCTCAAGGTTTCTAACCCTGCCCTGGGATGGTTTGTGGGAGGGGCCCCTCGTTCGGATTGATTGGGTGGGGGTGGATAATCTCACCCTGTGTCCCCTCCCCACCAGTACAAGCTGGAGAAGAGGGACCTGCAGGGCCGGACCCTGAACCTCTCGGTGTGGCACCACGACAGCCTGGGCAGGAACCTCTTCCTGGGGGAGGTGGAGGTCGCACTGGGTGCCTGGGACTGGGCCAACACACGCCCTGAGTGGTTCAACCTCCAGCCACGGGTGAGCCCCCAGCCCCCCCAGCTCCACCTTTCACCCACAGCCCCCCGTAACCCCCCATCCTCCACAGATGCCCATCCCCTCGGACGGCCTCGCCAGCCGGGGCAACCTCAGCTTGGCACTGAAGTTCATCCCCGCTGGCTCGGAAGGTGAGAGGTGCCCGTGGGCAGCTGGAGTGGGGGTCTGGCATGGCAGGGTGCCCCTGACCCCTCTGGCCCGCAGGCAGGGGGAATCCACCCACGGGCGAGCTGCACATCTGGGTGAAGGACGCTCAGAGCCTCATCCCGTTGCAGAGCGGCACCGTGGACGCCTTTGTGCAGTGGTAGGAGCGGGGGTGGCACCTTGGGGGGCACCCAGGGGGGCCGGTGGCAGTGTCCCCTCACTCCCTGTGTCCCCCCAGCTACGTGCTGCCGGATGACAGCAAGGCCAGCCGGCAGAAGACGCGGGTGGTGAAGCGGAGCCTGAACCCCCTCTTTAACCACACCATGGTCTACGACGGCTTCCAGGCCAAGGACTTGGCCGAGGCCTGCGCAGAGTTCACACTCTGGCACCAGGAGGCCTTTTCCAAGCGCCAGCTGGGCGGCATCCGGCTCAGCCTGGGCACCGGTGAGGCCGGGGGGGACCCCAGCACCTCAGGGTGCCCCCCTGTGCCGTGGCTCGGGGGATGACCGTGGGGGTCTCTCCGCAGGGAGCAGCTACGGGCTGCCCGTGGGCTGGATGGACTCGACGGCAGAGGAGCAGGGGGTGTGGAAGCGCCTGCTGCAGCAGCCCCGGCAGTGGGTGGAAGCTCTGCTGCCCCTGCGGACCAACCTGGCCCCCCGGGCGTAGCCCCCTGGTCCCACGAGGACCACCTGGGGCCAGCGGGACTGTGGGACCTGGGGGGATGGAGACCTGGAGCATCACTGTGCAGGGCTGGGGGTCTGTGCCCTCCCCTTTCAGCAGCAATGAAGTGGCATCAGAGGGCACATCTGGTGGCTGTTTATTGCTCTGGGCACTGTACCAAGACTTCTCCCTGCACTCTGGGGCTGGAGCTGCTGCACCCCACTACGCCCAGCGAGTGGCTGTCCCCTCCACTGTCCTGCCAGCCCCTGGGGTGGCAGCCCCGGGGCTCCAGTGGCCTTGTCACAGCCCTGGGCGGGGTGGAGAGGTCACTCCCACACCAGGATGGCCCATTCCTTACTGGGAGACCCCACACTGGTTCCTGTCCCCTGGTCACTGGGAGGATTGGAGTCATTTGAGGCCACCCCCCCACCCCCACCCCCGTGGGCAGGATGCGCCACATCCCCAGAGATTTTGTTTGCAGCCAAAATATGGGACAGCACCCGTTACTGAGGCCCTGGCAGCGACAGGTGACAGGTGACAGTGACACGGACACCAGGACTTACAGGAAAATCCTTTATTAGTCTCTGTCCCACCCTGTGCCATCTCAGGCTTTGCCCCAGTGTGGGTCTGGGGTCTCGGCAGCAAAGGGCCCCCCCTGCCAGCCGTGGCCACGTGTCCTCTGATCCCTGGGGTACCCCAGGTCTCCTGGGCGCTTGGCAAGCCCAGGGTGGGGGAGCCCCAGGTGGGATTCAGGGCTGGATGGGCCCCCCCTGCCCACCTGCATCCCCCGGGGAGCAGCCAGAGGGTGCAAACCCCTGGAGCATCCCCAGCCACCACACTGGGGACAGGGACAGGGGTCAGGCCTGGGGGACGTGTCCCACCCTGGTGTCCCCAGCTTTGCATAGTCGTGGTGTGGGGGGCCCTGTGGCCGTGGGGGTGTGACACCAGCAGCCTCTTCACCCCGGGGAGGACAAGGACAGCATCCCCCACCCAGCCTGGGGCACGCAGTAGCCTCAGATCCTGGTGCATTGGACAGAGAAGAGCCGTGGCAGGAAGGGTCCTGGAGGGCTTTACCCTGGGGGGGTCCAGCCCTTCGCAGCCCCCCCAGGCAGTGGGGTGCAGGAGGGGTGTCCCAGTGCCCACCCTGCTGCACCCATGCCATGGGGAAGGGTTGGACTGCACTGGGAATGGGGGCCCCCCCCTGCACCCCCAGCCCAGCTACACGACCCCCCCCCGGACACAACACAGACACCACCTCGCAGAGTTTAATGGGGGGCAGCCCGAGCTACAAGCGTCACCCCACAGCACACGACACGCACCCCCCTCCCCAAAACAACACACAGAAAGGGGGTGGGGGGACGGGGAACCCCCCCAGACACCCCCCCAGAGCAACACAGAGGCACAGCAAAAGCACACAGCGAGGGCCTGGCTCCGCTCCTCCGGTGGGCACGGGGGGCTGGGGGGTCGGGGTGGGTGGGGGGCTGTCAGGGCAAGGGGGTGGGTGCTCCAGCCAAAACGCTGAAGGGAAAAGAGAGACCACCAGGAGAAGAGGGGAATCCCCCGCCCCAGTGAGCCCCCGAGCTTTGGAGAGGCAACGGGGCAGGGGCTGCCGAGGGTGGGGAGGTGGCTGCTGGGTGCTAACCGGGGCCAAACTGGGAGCCCTGCAGCTCCTGTCCTGTCGAGGATGCTCAGGGTGAGGGGGGGCTGCACTCTGCTGTGGTGGGAATGGGGGTGTGGGAGGCACCTCGCCCCGGTGGCAGAAGGGGTTGTACATCAGCTGCACCCCCCAAGGGGCTCCGTGCCTGAAAAGGGGGCGAGGGGGGTGAAACCCCCTTCCCTTCCACCACTAACAACTCACAGGAAAACAGCAAACCAGGTGGGAAACACCCGACATGCAAACCAGGGGAGAGGGACCATGCCACCCTCCTCTCCCCGGGGAGGTGCGAGGGAAGGGTGAAGCTCCGGGGGTGCAGGGAGGGCACCCCCTCCCCATGGCCACCAGCACCCAGAACCTACTGGTTGTCCTCTCTGGCAGCGTGGAAGGAAAGAGAGACGGGGCACAGCCCCCCATGTTAGACACAACGAGCCCCATGGACGTGGGAAGAGAGTGTGGACCCCCACCTGGCTCAGCCTCAGAGGGATGGATTTGGGGTCCCTCCCACTCCCCACAGGATTTAGAGCCAGGATCCAGCCAGACAATGACACACAGAGGAGGTGGCAGGACAGCCAGACACCAGTGAGGGGGCAGGTGGGGGAGGACAATGAATCCTCCCCTCACTGGATGAGGACAAAGAGCCACGGGAGACAAAACAGCAGTGAGACAGGACACTCATCGGGGTGACCCCATTTTTGGCTTCAAGGGTGGGTTTGCCCTGGGTCCCCCCCTCCACCCTGGATTCCGGGGAGGGTGTGGGAGCCTTACAGTGTTTGGTAGGTGCTGTCCTTTGACTTGATGAACTTGATGACGAAGAAGACAACGGCCTGGATGCTCAGCACCAGCACGATGCCGCCGATGAAACTGGCTGTGTCGAAGCCGGGCGGGTGGAACTCGGGGCTGCCCGTCAGCGGGGCACTAGTGGTGGTGGTCCCTGTTGTCAGGGGAAAACGGGGGGGTTTAGGGGGTTATGGGTACTCTGGGTATCCCTGAGCACTGATGACCCTGCCAAGGGGAGGGAATTTGGGGTCCACACAGCCCCCAGCAGCTGCAGGGGAAGGGATGGTAGTTCCCAGCTTGGGGCTGGGATGTGCCCACAAACATGTGGATGCTGGGATGGGCTCAACCCCTTCCCATGCCATAGCAGCTGGAGCTGCAGGAAAGGAGCCAGCAGGAAAAAGATCCCAGTGGGATCAATAATTCAGAGGGCTCTGGGCTCCGGTTACCTGCCGTAATTAGCTCAGTGCTCTCCAGTTCCCGCTTCCTGGAAGAGGCTTATTCTCTGCTCCCAGCCCCAGCTCCAACCAGGCTGGGGGTGGAATTCCCAGCAAGGATGGCATCAGGGATGGTTCTTGGGGGACTGTGGGGTGCCATGACTCCCCCAGCTCCATCCAAGCACTGTCCAGGGCAGAGAGGGGGGACGGGGACAGAGCTCTGACCCAGGACAGCGGTGGCACCTCCTGGGGCACAGTCCACTGATGCAACCCTGAGGCACATCCTGCCCAAAGGGATGTGAAATATGGAGGGAATTGTCTTGTTGGGACTGGTCACTGATCCCTGGGGCATCCAGGATCCCCATCCCACCACCTCCCCCCCTCCAGACCCACTCACTTGTGGAGTGTGTCACTGGCTCCTTGCTGTGGGACTGTGGAGGCTCTTCTGTGGGGGACTTCAGAGCTGGAGAGGGCAGGGACAGAGGGAAGGGGGAAGAAGGGGTGTGAGGGGACATTGCCACACATCCCCTACCCCAGGTCCCTGTCCCAGGGGTGGGACTTCTTCCCCATGGCCCCAGCACCCAGAGCAGCACCTCTGTCCTGAAGGCTGCTGGGCCTGGGGGGGCTGTGGGGGTCTGAGGTTACCTCGGCACAGCGTGCTGGTGTTGTAGAGTGCACAAGTCTCCCTTGTTGCTGCTCCTCTCTGCACACAGCTCCCTGTTTCTATGGGAAGAGGGAGCAGGGTTTTCCCAAGGATCCCAATCCAGCACCCACTGCAGCAAATGGTGTTTGGGCCCTGGGCTGCCCTGAGCACCGGAGGGTTTGGGACGATGAGGACTCATTCCCAGGGCTGGACATTCATCCCTCCAAGGGACTGCGAGTTGGGGCTCATATCTGCACCCCCTCAGGGAAGAGCCCCAAACAGGGGCTTTAGGAACAGCTGGTTTTCTTCCTTCTCCATCGCTCAAAGCTGCTCCATGTGCACATGATGGAGGGTTCCCAGTGTTATCTCAGCATGGCTGGGAGCAGCACACGCCAAAACCTACACCCCTGCCCACTGGATTAGCACAGATCCCCGCATTCCCTCTGGATGGGTCAGCTGAGATGGACCTTGACCATGGAAAGCAACTGGGACTGGGCACCTGAGGGTGCTGAGTGCTGGCACCATCCCGGCACTGCCCCAGCCCAGTGACAGGGGCTGGAGAAGGCTGGTGGGAGCCCCTCGCTGTCCCCCCCAGCTGAGCCCCTCACCTGGCTCCTCAGGGGTCCCGCAGCCCACCCAGACGCAGCTGGTGGTGTTGTGTGAGGGGGTGACAGCCGTACATGTCTCACAGGACCTCAGCTCGCCACACTCTCCTGCCAAATCCAGGGAAAAGGGGTGAGGGCAGGGCCAGCATCTGTCCCCCTGGCCCTGGGGTTGGGGCTGGACCCTCAGCTCCATTGAGGGGGAATTCTGATGATGCTGTGGGAGGGATGAAGGCACATCCCACAGCACCAAACCCACCCACAGACCCGTCCCAGTGGAGTGTTTGGAATGTCGCCAGTTCTCCAGAGAGGGGACACCCCACAGCTCCCAGCCTGGGACACACGGGGCTCACCCCATCACCCACAGTGCAGGGAAACATTCCTCAGCCCTGGGGCTGGGATTTAGGATCCTGGGATCTTTTGGTGGGTGTTTAAATGCAGCGAGGCGGCAGCACAGCCTGGTTGGGGTTACCTGAGCAGTGTCACCCCCCTGTCCCCCCAGACCACCCCGTAGGACCCCCCACTCTCATGCCCCTGGTGAGGGCGGTGAGTCACTCGGGTGTTTGTGGAGCTGCTCTTCCCCCACACACGCTCATCACTAATTTACAGCGATGACTGTCGGCGAGGGAGGCTACGACTAACGAGCCGCGGCCGGGCCCTGCCTGCACCTCGCCGCGTCCCACGCCCGCGTTTGCACCATCCCGGGAAAGACCCGGGAGCCATTTCCCACCCTGGATGCGTTTCCAGGTTCTCAGGGGGCAAACCCTCCTCCCAGGGCTCACTGAGGGCTGGCATCCCCCTGGGTCGGCTCCCCAGGGGTCTTTCCAGGCAGGGCATAAGGCATCCCTGCCGGCAGTGCTTCCCACCACACCACCTCCTTTTGGGGTGACCAGCTCCAGCCCCCCAGCTTTTAGGGTCCCCTAAAAACCGTGCCTGGCTGATGGGAAAGTCCCTTCCCTTCTTTCCCAGCAGAAGCCAAGGGGGCAACTGGTGGCATAAGGCAGGAAGCGGGGATGCTGCGGCCCCATTGCCATGGCTACGGGAGGGGGGTGGGCACGCCGCTGGGCCCCCCCTCCAGCTTTTAGAGACCTGCCGGGAGCCAATGGGAAAGTAGGACTTTGTTCGCAAGGGTTTCAGGCAGGTTTGTAATTTTAAGTTATTTTTATCGCGGCAGGCGCAGGAACAGACGTTCGAGCCCAGCGTTGTCAACTCCCGCTCCTGCCGTCAGGTGTGGGGAGGGAGAGGGAATAAAGGGGGGCAGCGGGGCAGGCTGAGGGCACCCCCATCCCCATGGGCGCTCTGGGAACACGCGTGGGTCCCCCTGGGATAAGTCAGGGTGGAAATGTCTCCCGGGAGCAGAGCGGGGGATGGGAGAAGGGGGGCAGAAGGATGCCGGGGGTTTGCATAATTAATGCCCGGAGTTGCAGCACCTCGGGAAGGGGGATGACGGCTCCGCTCCCCGCTCCCCACCACGAGCCACGAGATCCCCACACTTTTTGCGGGGGAGTTGGACCCTGCACCCCGCTTATCTCGCAGCAGCCCAGCTCGCCCCCCCCGGCCCTGGGGGGTCCCAGCCCCCCGGAACACGGCTGGGAGAAGGGGTCCCTCTCCCCGCAAACCGAGGAGGCGACGGAGTCTTGTGGGGGAGGGAGGAGCCTCTGGAAAGAAAAGACCCCCCCAAAAAAGTTCATCTGCCCCAAAGCTGCAAACTCCCCCCCCAAGCCCCAAGCTCCCCCCCCGGGCCCCCCGGCCGTACCTGCGCGGGTGGGAGCGGGTCCCTGCGCGCAGAGCAGCGCGCACAGGAGCGCGCAGCGCAGCGCCCCGGGACCCGGCGGGGCCATGGCCCGGCCCGGCTCGGCTCAGCGCGGCTCGGCCCAGTCCCAGCGGGCGGTGTGGCCGCGGCTCTCCCGGGAGAGCGGAGCGGAGCGCCGGGCAGATGCGCACCCGCGGGAGGCGGCCCCGGCGGCGGCGGGGGAGGGTGGGGGGGCGGCCCCGCCTCGTCGCGCCCCGCCCCGCCCCGGCGGGCCCGGCAAGGGAAGGGGGGGTCTCTCCAGAGGTGCATCTCCCCCCTTCCCCACACACACACCCCTCTCGCTGCCGCGGCCGCGGGGAAGCTGCGGCTGACCCGGGACCGTGGGGTCCGGGCTGAACCCCTGGCACGGGGTGTTCTGCTGCACGGGTTGTACACACCGTGCACCTGCACACACCTGCACACCTGAACACACCGTACGCACTGTACACACTGTACACACTCGCACACCTGAACACACTGTACACAGTGTACACAGTGTACACACTGTACTCCTACACACACCTGCACACCTGTACACAGCTGCACACCTGAACACACTGTACACCTGCACACACCTGCACACACTGCACACCTGAACACTTGCACATCTGTACACACCTGCACACCTGAACACGCTGTACAACCTGCACACCTGGAAACACTGCACTGCACACACACCTGCACACAAGTGCACACAGTGTACAACCTGCACACCTGGACCCACTGCACTCACTGTACACACTGTACACACTGTACACCTGGACACACTTCACTCCCAGTACACTCTGGACACTCACTGCACACCCTGCACACCCAGCACACCTGAACCTGCACACACAGCACACACCTCACGCCCGGACATTCCGCACACCCCGCACGCCGTGCGTGCACCGCACGCTGCCTGTACACGGTACACCCCGAACACCGCGCACAGCCCGCACAGCCCGTCCGCACACAGCCCGCTGCACACCCCGCACACACCCCCCGCCCCTGCCCCGCTCTCGGGGCACCGCGACCCTCCCCGGGGCTGCGGCGGGTCCCCCCGGGGCCCGGGTCCTTTCGTTCAGCACCGCGAACAGCTCCCGCCGGGCCGGGTCGGACCGAACCGGGCCGGGACCCTCCGGTCCCTGTCCGAGCTCCGAGGGGGCGGCTGCAGCTCCTTCTGAGAGCATCGGGGGCTCCCGACCCCCGCGGGGTCTCGGCAGTCCCAGGTACTCCGGGACCAACCCCCTCCACAGCGGAGACAGGGAAACTCCCCGGGCTTCGAGGAACCGGCGCGGTGGAAGAGTCCCGGGGGGCGCACGGCTTCGCCTTCCTCCCCCTTCTCCTCCTCCTCCTCCTCCTCCTCCTCCCCGGGGGGAGGGCTCCCCGCCAGTCGCTCTTCCCGCAGCCCCTCCCGGTCGGGCCTTCCCGCTTCTCCCGGCCATGAATTATTCAGCCCCGCGTGGGAAAGCCGGGTCGCGGGGACCCTCCGGGGCTGCGCGCCCCTGGATATGCGGGGCCAGGGGAGGACTCATCCTCACCCCTTCCTCCTCCTCCTCCCCCCCGGCCGCCCCCTCCAAAGCGCAGCCCCCAAACCTCTGCATTGCGGGGAGGGGGGGAGGCGGAGGGGAGCCAGCACCCCTTTCTCTTTATCGCGGGGGTCTAAGCGGGGGGTCCCGTGGGAGGCGTGAGCCCGGGTTTGATGTGGGCAGGGGGCTTTGAAGCGGGGCGTGGGCCGGGGTGGTGGTGGGTGGTGATGGGTGGTGGGGGGGGGGGGGGGGGGTTTTTTTTTTTTTGGGGGGGGGTTGCTTTGCGGGGGGCGCGCGCCCGCGCTGCCTGTGCGGGGGCTGATTGGCCCGTCGGCGGTATTGACGTCACGGCGGGGTGAGCGGGGTTTTGGGGGGGGCGGCGGTGAGTCACCCCCCGAACCCCCCCCGAGCCCCCCCGGCCGGGCTCGGCCACTATAACTCGGCGGCGCCCATGGCAGCGGGCCCCCAGCCGGGCAGCCCCGCACAGCCCGGGCCCCGGCCCCGCAGCATCCCGGCAGGTGAGTGCCCGGCGCCGCGGGTGGGGGCACCGGGAGGGGGGGGAGCCCGCAGGGCCAAGGGGAGGGCGGCGAGGAGCGGCCGTGCCCCCCCACACCCCGTCCAGGGGCTGTGCTGCCTGCCCAGGGAGGGGTAGACCCCCCAAGGTAAGTGGGGATCCCCTGGTTGGGGGGTGCATGGTGGGGCTGGGGGGGTGTCTCTGCCCGCTGGGGTGCTGATCTGGGGGGGGGAAGAGTTACCCCCTTCACCTGCTGCTTGAGATGCCCCCGGTTTGGCCCTGAAGTCTTTGCTGGGGAAGGGTTTCCAGTGCCAGTCCTGCTCCCCCAGGATTTATCCACCAAAATCATGCAGTGCCCAACCCCCAGGCAGGCAGGAGCAGGGGTGTCGTGTGTGTGTGTCCCAACCCTTTATTCACCTGTTTGTTTTAAAACCAAACCACCTCATCCCGAGAAATCCCCTTGGAGCAAACAACGAGCACCCCCTCAAACACACACAGCTCTGTCCCCCCTGCTGTAGACAACTTTTGGGGGGAAGCAGGACTGTCCCCAGCTGAGTGGCACAGGGAGGGCTTGTGAGGCCAGCAGGTGCTGAGGGGGCTGCTTTTGCTTTCAGCTGCAGCAGGTCACCCTCTGCCACCATGATGGAGAAAGGGCCCCCCAACTCCAGCGAAGGCCAGCAGGGCTGGTTTTCTGCCAGGAATGGCAGCGGCAGCTCCCTGGACCTGGAGTCTGTGGTGCGACCCCTGGCCTTGAACCCGTGGGACGTCGTGCTCTGCGTCTCCGGGACCATCATCTCCTGTGAGAACGCCATCGTGGTGGTGGTCATCTTCTACACGCCGGCCTTCCGCGCCCCCATGTTCCTCCTCATCGGCAGCTTGGCCGTGGCCGACCTCCTGGCGGGTTTGGGGTTGATCCTGCACTTTGCCTTCGTCTACTTCGCGCCGTCGGAGGCGGTCAGCCTGCTCACGGTGGGGCTGCTGGTCACCTCCTTCACGGCCAGCGTCTGCAGCCTGCTGACCATCACCATCGACCGCTACCTGTCCCTCTACAACGCCCTGACCTACTACTCGGAGAGGACGGTCACCAGGACTTACATCATGCTGATCCTCACCTGGGGAGCCTCCATCTGCTACGGGCTCCTGCCCGTCATGGGCTGGAACTGCCTGAAGGAGCCGCCCGCCTGCAGCGTCGTCAGGCCGCTGACGAAGAACCACCTCATCATCCTCTCCGCGTCCTTCTTCATGGTGTTCGCGGCGATGCTCCAGCTGTACGTGCAGATCTGCCGGATCGTGTGCCGGCACGCCCACCAGATCGCCGTGCAGAGACACTTCCTGGCCAGCTCCCACTACGTCACCACCAGGAAAGGCATCGCCACCCTGGCCGTCATCCTGGGCACCTTCGCGTCCTGCTGGCTGCCCTTCGCCATCTACTGCCTGCTGGGGGACTACACCTACCCGGCCCTCTACACCTACGCCACCCTCCTCCCCGCCACCTACAACTCCATGATCAACCCCGTCATCTACGCCTTCAGGAACCAGGAGATCCAGAAAGTGCTGTGGGCCGTGTGCTGCGGCTGCTTCTCCTCCACGCTGCCTTTCCGCTCCCGCTCCCCCAGTGACGTCTGATGTGTCCCCCCCCAACCACCTCCCTGCACCTTCCACTCACCGGTTGCAGTCGGGGGATCTGCTTTTATTCCCCCTTCTCATTCCCAGAGGCAACGTCACAGGAGCTCTTGGAACCAGGCAGCTCTTCCCAGCATCGTCCTTTTCGGGCACAACCCCTTCTCGGCCTCTATTTTTCCACTTTTTGAATGTACAGGAGAGAAAAGCATATTTTTTATCCGTAATATAATCTATATTTATGCGTGAGAGAGAGACAGAGAGAGAGGGGGGAGATCCTCATATTTTCTTTAAAACTATTTACGATGCTTTATTTTTTTAAGGGGGGGAGACACCAGGAACGTTCACCCCCATCTTGCTTTTTTTACAACCTCATTATTTACCTCAGATAGTTAAAATATATTTTGTACGTTTGGGGAAGGGGAGGAGAGACTCGTTGCCAAAAGAGGAGGGACTCAAACCCTCCCCCCCCTCCCAGCTGTCCATCCATTGATTTATTTATTGTTTTTTAATTATTATTTAATTTGATTTCCGTGCCTCCCTCCCACCCAGCGCTGGGCCCTGCTGCCCTCTAGTGCTCGCTGCCTTCGGGAGGAGGGGGCTGCCGGAGGCTCCGCACCCCCAAACCCAGCAGTTGTGGGGTCCCCTGGGTGCCGCCACCCCCCCTCCTGGCACCCAGGGCTCCCCCCCGCCAAAGCCTTTCTTTGCACTGGGGCTGGATTTGCACATTTTGGAGGGGGGAGATAGATGTGAAGAGGCCTCTTGTGATGGGGTCCCTCTGGATGGGGATCTCTTGGAATGGGGGATCCCTCGGGATGGGGACCTCTCGGGACCGAGGTGAGGGGGGGGGGGCTGCTTCTTGTTTACAACCGTGGGAGGGGAATAAATTAATTTGTGATACGAGGTGCGGCTGTTTGATGCTGGGGAGGGGGTGGGATGGTGTTTCCCGAGGAGGGAGAGCAGGCTGAGGTCCCCGAGTCCCATCAGGGCCGCCTCCCCGCTCCGTTTCCCTGCTCCCGGACAAGAGATGCCAAGCGACAGCGCTTCCCCCACCCATCACATCCTGTTAGCAGGAGCCGGCCCGGGGGCCGGGCCCTGACCATCCTCATCCTCACAGCGCCCAGCGGGCACAGGGGCTGCATCCAGCTCTGCCGGTGACATCTGATGTGTCCCCCCCTCCAGGGACGGCGAGGACTCATTCCCGGGGGGGTGTGTCCATCCGAGGCGCCGCGAGCCGGGCCCTCCATCCAGCGGGATGGTGTCACTGCCTCCATCACTGCGCTCCAACCCCTCTCCTGGGGGTCTCTGCATGGGGGGCACCCCCACACTGAGGCTCCCGCGCTCCAAGGGCCACAGCTCACACAGGATGTGAGACACCCGTCCTTGCTGCCCCTGCTCCTGCTCGTCTCAGGGAAGGAAGGGTTAACGATGGCACAGCTAATTAGGGCAGCTCAGCCCCTCTGGTGTCAGGACT